AATAATAATAATAATAATAATAATAATAATAATAATAATAATTATTATTATTATTATTATTATTATTATTATTATTATCATCACTATCGTTATCGTTATCATTATCAGTATCAGATCATTTCTATTATTATATTAAACAGGCGACAACGACGACGACGACAACATCGATGGGGAGGCGACCTACGTCAAGAACTGCGAAATTGTTCACACTGTCGTAGTTGCACTTGATTTTGATGCCGTCCTGCGACTGGATGTTCACTGGGGTCTCGAACCACGGTCCATCCACATCAAACACCTCTGTTCCCCACTCTCTGAACTAGTCATAAAAAGACAACACAACGATGTTATTAAGAAACTATGTACATAAAAAAAGAGCAAAATTATTAAGACTAGGTGGTATAAAACAACGTAAGATTGTATATTATGACATAAAGCAAGTCAAGACTGGTTCTAAGAAAAACAAACAAACAAACATAAAAGAGACACCACAAAGATGTAAGAAACTGTGTACATAAAAGAGGGCAAAATTATTAAGACTAGGTATAAAAAAGATGTATTGAAGCACAGAAAGATCTGTATTTATGCTTCATAGATTATTCTCTGCCTGTGAGATCATTGCCGAAGAGCAGGCAGGCTTTAGAGCAGGGCGCAGCACAACAGAACAGATCTTCAACCTCAGAATACTGTGCGAGAGGTACGTCCAACACCAACAAAACCTATACCATATCTTTGTGGATTTTAAAAAGGCTTTCGACAGGGTCTGGCATGCAGCCTTATGGGCAACCATGAGGAAATATAACATCAACGCCAACCTGATCAACGTCATACAACAACTATATGACAAGGCCTCCAGCGCAGTCTACCTCAACGGCAGCATGGGGGATTGATTCAGAACAACGGTCGGGGTGTGGCAAGGCTGTTTGCTCTCTCCCACTCTCTTCAACATCTTCCTAGAACGAATAATGACTGACACTCTGGAAGACCACAATGGAACAATCAGTATTGGAGGCAGGACAATCACTAACTTGCGTTTTGCCGATGACATCGACGGATTAGCAGGAGAAGAACAGGAGCTCGCCACACTAGTGGAGCGGCTGGACACAACCTCAGCAGGCTACGGCATGGAGATCAGTGCCGAGAAAACCAAGTTAATGACCAATAACACCAATGGCATCAATGCAGACATCAAAGTCAGGGGTGAGAAACTTGAGACCGTCAACAGCTTCAAATACCTCGAATCTATCGTCTCAGATGAAGGCTCAGGACTAGAAATTCTCTCCAGAATCGCGCAAACAACAGCTGCTCTGTCAAAACTGAAGCCTATTTGGAGGGACAAAACATCACGCACAGCTAAAAAATTAGACTAATGCGCTCACTGGTCATCTCAATATTTTTATACGCCTGCGAGTCACGGACACTAACAGCAGAATTAGAGAAAAAGATTCAGACCACAGAGATGAGATGTTACCGCAGACTCCTTGACATCTCGTACAAAGACCAAGTTTCAAATGCTGAAGTACGAAAGAGAATCACCAACGCAGTGGGGCAATATGAAAATCTACTGACCACAGTGAAGAGACGAAAACTAAAATGGTATGGGCATGTCACAAGATCCACAGGACTAGCCAAAACAATCCTGCAAGGAACCGTACTAGGAAAGAGAAAGAGAGGAAGGCAGAGAAGGAGATGGGAGGACAACGTTACAGAGTGGACAGGAAAGACTATGGGTGACAATCTGAGGAGAGCAGAGGACAAAAATAGATGGCAAGAGCTGGTTTTCCAATGCAGTGGTACCCCAACGGTTGCCCCAACCACGGGATAAACGAAGAAGAAGAAGAAGAAGAAGATTATTCAAAGGCGTTCGATAAAGTTAGACATGATGAGCTATTTAAAATACTGGAAAAGCTACACAAAGATGGACACGATCTGAGAATTTTAAAAAATTGTACTGGGACCAAAACGCTGCTGTACGAATTAATGGAGAATACAGTGAATATAAGCAGATTAGGCGAGGAGTGAGGCAAGGATGTGTTATGTCACCAGACCTCTTTAACATGCACAGTGAAACAATCCTTAGAAACATAGAAGAATGCCCAGGCCTCAAAGTTTATGGAGAAAAGATTAGTAACATCAGGTATGCAGATGACACGGTTTTGATAGCAGGCTCCGAAAAGGACCTTCAATTGCTTTTAGATACTGTTGTAAAAAAAGTGAACGTTAAGGATTATTGTTGAATGTAAAGAAAACAGAATGCATGGTAATATCCAAAAAAGCAGCAAATCCTAGTTGTAATCTCATTAACAAAGGTGAAAAGATCAAAACAAGTCCAACAGTTTAAATATCTAGGATATATGATAACATCTGATGCCAAATCTTCCGCAGAAATAAAAAGGAGAACTGCAATGGCTAAGGTTAGTTTCAATAAAATGAGCCCAATCCTGAAAAAAAGAAACATATCAATGAACATCAAAATGAAAGTCCTGAAATGCTATGTTTGGTCAACCCTTCTATATGGTTGTGAATGCTGGACAATCACTAAAGACAATGAAAATAAAATAGAGGCAACAGAAATGTGGTTTCTTAGGAATCTGCTAAGAGTATCGTGGAAAGAACAGAAATCAAATGAGGTAGTGCTTGATAAAGCCCACGTAGGAAGCTCAATGTTAAAAACAATCAGGAAACGACAAATGCAGTTTTTGGGACACCTGAATAGACATAAGGGTCTTGAACATCTAGCTCTCACTGGCAAAATTGAGGGCAGCGAGGCAGGGGTAGGCCAAGAAAAACATACGTAGGGAACCTAAACAAATGGGTAACAGGGAAAGATCAGGGAAACGTAGCTTTTCTGAGAGCATCCGAGTAAAGGAATGAAAGGAAAATTATGATCGCCGATGTCTGTCGCAGATCTGGCACTGGATGATGATGATGATAAAAACAACATAAGATTGTATATTATGACATAAAGCAAATCAAGACTGGTTATAAGAAAAAAAAAACGAACAAACAAACAAACAAACAAACAAACAAACAAACAAACAAACAAACCCACAGAGATACACCAAAGATGTAAGAAACTGTCTAGATAGAAGACAGACAATTAATTATGAAGATAAGGCTTAAAAAAACGGAAGATTGTATATGACATTAAGCAATTCAAGAAGACTGGTTATTAGGAAACCATTGAAGATCAGTCATAAGAAACACATTTTGATAAAGACTTGACATAAAAATGAATGAACACAGTGGGCGGGAAATACAGGGAGAGAGCACATAACATCAAACGAAGGAAGGCATGACATGAAACTACTGAATACTGGAGATAAAACAAAAGAAGATTGCACATCGAACACATGAAGACTGAACATAAAAACACATAAAGATTGGACAAAGAACAAACCAGCGTTGAACATAAAATACACGAAGACGCAACATAGAACAAGTGAAGATTGGATATTAAAAAACCCCGAAGGCTGTACATAAAAAATATAATTATGAAGACTGTTCATAGAACAGTGTATGAAGACTGGCCATAGAACAATGTATAAAGCCTGGACATAAAACAATTATGAAGACTTTACATAGAACAAGGAATGAAGACTGACTAAAAACGAATGAAGACTGAACATTTTAAAAAATCAACAATTTAACTGGTCATGAAAATGCAAGACTGGACGAAAAAAAACAAAGAAAGACGGCACATAGAACAAACAAAGACTGGATATCATACAAACGGAGACTGAACAGTAAAAAAATAACGACTTGACACATTATTATGGAACCGTAGGATAAATTAGATAGATAGATAGATAGATAGATAGATAGATAGATAGATAGATAGATAGATAGATCGATCGATAGATAGATAGATAGATAGATAGATAGATAGATAGATAGACAGATAGGTAGATAGATAGATGTATATGTAGATCGACAAATAGACATATTAGATATATTATGTAGATAGATAGATAATATGAGGACAATTACTATTCACAGATGGTCACACAAACAGACAGCCAAACGCTCAGGCAGAATAATAATATGCATGTGTGTATGCATGTTTGTGTGTGTATGTGTGTGTGTGCGTGTGTGTGTGTGTGTATGTGTGTGTGTGTGTGTGTGTGTGTGTGTGTGTGTGCGTGTGTGTGTGTGTGCGCGTGGTGAAACACTAAAGCAATGAGCCCGGATCTGGACGATAAAGATGTTTCTTACCTTATCTTATCTTATCTGATCTTATTTCATCTTATTTTACCCCACCAGGGCAAAGCTACTGACTAAAGTTGTTTCAGGCCATTCTCAAAAGGGGGATATTGACATGCTTTTATACACAGTAGAATAGTACATGGGCTGATTTATCAATGTCATGCTCATACTGAGCCAGAACAGCATAAGAGGAACAGCTGCTTTTTCTTTCCTCATACTTACCATCATCATTTTCCCTCTACTTTTTCTGTATGTTTGGCATTCTCTTGTGACCTGCTATTTCCGGGGTGCCATGATAGTCGAAACAGACTTTGTGCTGTTGAGGCTAGAGAGGTGAGCAGAGAAAGCTTGCTTCCCCATTTGGACTTCTCTGTTGACATCCGGTCCACGCCTGGGCGCTTATATGACCTTATTATGCAGTTGCGAGTGCCGTAAAACCTTACAAAAACTTATCTTATCGTATCTCACCTCATCTAATCTTATCTTATTTTACCATGTAAACACCGTTTTCGGCAATTTCCCCTGTCCTGACGGTGGCACCAATAGTAAATTTATAGGATCTGGTCATTACAGATGAATCTTTTCTTATCTTATCTTATCTGATCTTACCTGGTAAACACCGTTTTCGGCGAATCCCTCTTTCCTGACGGCTGCTCCAATATTATTGTTAGAGCCCTTGGTCCTCGTGATGTTGCACGCGACGTCAAATCCCGCGGCGTAGAACTTACCCTTGAATTTTTTATTCCATCCGTGAACCTACCAAAACACAGAGGAGACTGAAATAAGTAAATAAATGTGTCGCGCGCGCTCCTACGACCGCATGTATTTACGAGCGCCGTAAAACATTGACCCAAAGAAAAAGCAAACAGTGTTCACGTATTGGAGACAAAACAATGAATATGATATACAATTATGGCAATCTCAATCGGCACTGATATAAGCTATAAGCCGCATTTTATTCAACATGCAGTGGTCTCAGCAACTGTAGTGGAAAGCGCATAGAGCTTGCTGTAGAGCGGGGTTATATCCCTATAAAATTGCTATTGAATTAACAATTTATTACTAGCTGGGCCCCCTTTCGATGAAAGGAATGACCGGTGCATTAACATCTACTGAAAGTCATTGGCCGACTATATTTACACTCTACTGGAATGGAGCAATAAATTATGAAAAAAAAAAGAAGAAAATCTAGATCTTTACTCTCAAAACAAAATGCGCCTGGCGAAATATCCCTTCCGGCATCCCCGCTATGAAGGATAGCTACGCAGATTTGTTTCGTTTCTCAGTGGAATAATCACACAAAGGCCAAAGAAGGACGGGAATTTTTTGTAAAATATATTTTTGTTAAATTCAGGAAATTGATAATTAAAAAATCGACTCCGTCATGGGGACCTATCTATCTTTTAGCAGATACTTGCCAACATTCAACTCTGTAGTTGTCATAGTTTTATGGGGAAAAGTGACACATGTATTTCTAAGCTGCCAACTATATAATATACTATTATAAGAAAAGCGAGTGGTCGGCGAGAGCTCTGATGTTATAGTTTGTTCCTGCCCCCCTGTCAAACATCTATAACCCTTCCTCTTCTTCTATTATTAATATTATTATAATATTCAATGTTACTCTCTGGTAACTCTAATCTTTGGCACTTGTGCAACCTATTTGTGTTGCAAGTACAATAAAACTATAACTAAAACTAAACGAGAGAAGAAAAGTAACCGTTCTCGTTTTGTTTCCTGTTATTCATTTCTTCAAGCTCATTTAGGCACCGGGCTGCTTCGACTTTTTGCCACTCATAGCGACCACAGAATCCCAGCAGAAAAACGAAGATCCTACGTTAAGTAGACTATAGCTGTTCTTGTGAATCAAACTCAAATCATACGTAGTCTGAGGTACAGCGACTAGGTTCTTAGCCGTTGCAAACAAGGAGACCTGGCCAAGTAGCTCGGTCTTTCTACTGGGGGTGTTTGTGTACCTCTATCCCCGGTTGGTGCATACAGGCCAAAATGACCAAAAATGTGTAGATAGAGGCGTAAAAAAATATCTACATTAAACACACACACAAAATAAAATACCTGATTTCCTTTGCGTACTACTTATTGGCCAAGAGCCTTGCGCTTCAAAATGAACGAGGGAGAATACTAAGTGTATTATTCTTGAGAGTAAAGCTGTCTAGGTCACATCCCCTGAATAACATGCTCCGTTGTCTGCTTTTCGAATTATTAAAAGTGACACGATTAGTGGAATCAGGCGCTTGCAACTATTTGGGAACATTCCTGAGATATTGGTATCTTCTTAATAAAATTTTGTTCATTTTTCTGGCTTTTGATAAAAAAGAAAATAGCAATCTTTCTGTAATAGAAGTTGAGATATCAGTGATTGAAAGAGGTTACGGTTCTTTTGGTGTCAGAAGTAAAAATTAAGTAACTTGCGAAGGAAATAACAGCCAAAGTTTGTTGACTTCAAAAGTTTGAGTGACCTTGGAAACTGTAATTTTACTTTTTTACGTTTCTAATTAGCTAAATAAACGTTTAAAAAAAATCCAGACGGAAAAGTGTTTTAAAAAGTTGCACACGCAGCGCAAGATTGCTGGTTTGTTCGATTTTACAATCTTAACGAGCTTATCACGATGTCACATAAATATATTACACTTTCATGATTACTTATCAATTCCTATTTTCAGAAAACAAAAACAAACAAAGAAACAAAAATGAAAAAACAAAACATAAAAACCCCCATAAACTAGAAGCAACAACAACAACAACAATAAAAATCCCGTTGTATCCGCCTCGGTAAGGGTCGACTCAACTTCTAAGAACAACAGTTTGGGTTGGAGGTCGGCGTATCCTCTGATCTCGTTTGCTCCTTCTTTTCTATCAAACATATATTATTATTATGCCTATCTCTCCTTCCTCTTGCACAAAATTGCTCTCTTTTAACACCTCTAATCTGTGGCACTGTGCTACTAGTGTCGTAAACTTTTGCTAGGGGGGGGGGGGGCTCTCGTGGTCTTTGGTTACGGTGTTTGCTCGCATTTTATAGGTCCCGGGTTCGAAGCTTGACAACGGGGGGACACATTTTCTTCTCTAAAAATGTACTCTTTTCACTTTTCCTGGTCTTTGATCATGTTCTGTCGTCTGCTTTGTCTCTAACTTCTGCCTCCCCCTCCCCCCCCCACCTCATTTTCTCCTCCTCTGGGCTCCTGACTCATTCTGGTACCCTTCTACTGCGACTCCTTGGCTCCTTACTGCTGTCATTAAGTCACATCCATGATCTTAGGAAAATAACATCTATCACCTAGCTTTGTCGGATAAGGGCATACAAATCTTGGAATTTCTGTGTGCAAGCTGCGCACGTCAAAGACCCCTTGGTGGTCCTTAAATGAATGAAATGCTCCGGCCGCCACAAAGAAAAAAATCAACAATAATTCCTTCCAAACTGTAGACGCCAATACATTTTAATTGGTTTCGCGCTCTCAGTCGACCGTATGCAGTTACGAGCACCGTGAAACACGTACCAACGAACTCTTTCTATAATAATAATAATAATAAATAATAATGGATTGCATTTATATAGCGCATATCCACTTATGCAATGCTCTATACGCTGAACATGATACATATTATGTATTTACAAATCAATTTTAAAGGCACATAGTGTTACATGCTCGTGCACACACATATTCACGCACGCACCGCACACACATACACACATACGTACACACATACACACTTACGTACATATGCACATAAGCACATACAAACTCACAACGATCTACACCTTGGATGGATTCTGTCTAATCGAAATATGATGAAAATAGAAATGCTTTTAGTTTCTTCTTAAAAATTTCTAGATTTTCTGCTTCTCTGATAGTTTTTGGAAGCCTATTCCAA